GTACAATGAAAGAATCTGACGAGTAGATAGTGCCTCCCATAGGACATCTGAAATGTTTCTGAAGAAGCAAAACACAGAATACAAGCTATCTTCAGAAGTTCCATGTCAGCAACTTGGATGAGGATATGAACACTGAAACAGGTCAGGCATCTCCATAAGCATGGAAGGTCTAGAAATTTGAAATAACATGAAGGAACCAGCAACATTGACTCCAACTAGTTCGAAAATTCCAAGTTAGTTAGTCCTTGGTGTAATAAAAACACATATACCCTGGCTTCACATCTTGTCAGCAATAACCTTGTTTTTGCTATTCTACAGACTTGATGACAATTCAAACCCATCCAACTACAAAGGACATTGCAAAAGCAATGTACAATCAACACTTAACATAAACACTAGACACCTACCAAATCAGTTTTAGCAGAAACCAGGAAATGCACAGCATCAAGTTATCTTGCATGATACATATATAAACAACCAAACATGTTTTAAACAAAAAAACACTGACATGCTGAAAACTAAAGGACAATGAACAACTGGGTTTTATAGTCAACCACACAGAAACCTCCAAAGAGTCCCACAAGTTGGGAATCAAAGTCCAGCAAGCATAGATTGTGATATTTCAGCCGTGTGAGAACTGTCACTTACCCACTTTGACTATATGCTCTGAACAAAACAATCCCCTAGTATTTGCATGTGACCTGGTCCTAGATTATCCCATCAATGATGAACGTTCTCCACGGTGCACTTTTCAGATTCATTCATCGGCAAGAGTACAATGGAGTACTTGGAGGAATAATTCCAGCAGAAATCAAAGAATAAATGGACAGTGGATTTCTGAAAGCTATAAGAAGCATGAGATATAAGGGACTGAGTTTGAATTCATGATTCCTGCATACAACCTGACGTTTCTCGGCAAAAACAGTTGCCTGACACAATGAAGGCTTCCTCAAAGTCTAGCATCCAGCGGATGTCTGTGCTCTTAAAACCTTCAGTTGAAACTCGAAACAATTCCTCAGGCGAATCCAAGGCCACGCCAATTGCGCCATTTCTATGTCCATGGTACAAGGATCCATCTAGACACTCATTAACTTTGAACAATCTCATTGAAGTCGCCGACGACCATTCTATCTATATAGCATCTCGACTCGCGTCAAAAGCAGAAACAGAACAGTGAGATGAACTGCAATTTTGATATCTCCATTGCTGATTCTGACTCATTCCATTGTTATATACCAACAACATCACATTAATGAAAACACTCGCACCATTTGAATCAGAAAACTACGCATAATACTACTTAAAATAAATTCACGCAAGAGCATCTTCTCAAGCTAAACTATCATTGTTAACACAAGACCCTGATCCAAAAACATCAAGAAAGCAACGCTAACCATCATGATTAAAATGAAACTATGCTCAAATAAAACACAACAACATCAAAAATTCGTGCTCATGAGCGGGACCCAGGAGGGAGAAATATCTCATCACCTGTACTTTTGATGGTTGCGGGATCGAATCTCGGCCTGATACTTGGTCTTGCAGGTGTCGAGCGGGTAGAGCACGGTGGTGCTGACCAGAGCTCCGACGGCTCCGGACGTGGCCTCCGCGATGGACTCCAGGTTAAACGCCATGATCCAAGAAAAGTCTTGCGAGTTCTTGCCGATGGGAAAAGGGAGAACCGAGCTACTGCCGCACTTCACGTGCCGCATCCATCAGCCCAGTTCAAGAACTCGGTATAGAAGGACATCCGTCGTCTTTCGGGAGGTTAGCAGCTGCTTCAAGGAAGAGATTACAGAGGAGAGAGAGAGAGAGAGCGACAGTGATGGAGGAGTGAAGTGCTGGGCTTGGGTTACAGAGAGAGTGTGCCGTGCGACAATGCTTCTTCTTGGGAATCGAAAACGTGAACGTCAGCAAATGGGTTTCCCTTTTGTTCCATTGATGTCGAGATACCGTTATTATTACCATGTATAGATTTATATACATATATATATATATATATCGTAATTTTCAAATGATATGACCTTTCAACAAAAAAAAATGAGATGTCCTAAATTATTTATAAAATATGACATTTTAGATGTAAAAATTAGACAAAGTGAAATTAGGTGCGGGCGAACAAGGACGGAACATTTATCCGCGATTAACTTTATTTGAGGGAGATTATACAAAATGTGTGACCTCAATTCATAAATACCCTAAAAATATTCTTTCTACCATGTGCATTGGCGGACCTACGGCTGATGGCAATGGTCGTGGCCCCTTATTTAGAATTTATTGTCTCGTCCCCGTAATATGAAATTTTTCGAATAGCCATTAACCATGTTCTCTCATTAATTTTGAAAGTATTAGTTGAAAGGGAAAATGACTGGTCCTTCAATTTTGATTTAATATGCAATGTGGTCCATGAACTTTTAATTTGTTTAATGTAATCCTCAGACTTTTTGTACATGTTCAAGTTATTATCTAGACTACATGAAAATGTTTAATTTTATCCTTCCGTTAATTTAAGTTCAGGAACAATATTGAATATTTTCATATAGTTTAGGGACTAGTTTATAATTACTCAATCGGTAAAGTTTTCTCAGCCCTAGATTGCACCCAAATCAAACCCACAAGCGTGTCACAATCTCTCAAGAAAAACTCAATTGAACAACTCACAGAACGAAAACCTAACACTCATTTTGTATGTTCTAGTGTGTGTTCACCGAGTAGAATTCTATATCTTACATATGCATAATATTTATATCTAAAATAGAAAATCCTTTTAAAAGATCTATTCAATCTCAAATTAAGAAACCTACTCAGATAAGGAAATCTACTAAAATGGGGTTTTTTTATTGCTCAAACTTAAGACATATTCTAACAATTCTAAAGTCTTGTGTCAAATGTATTGTTGGAAACGGAAAGTCAGTTTCACTTTGGAAAGATCATTGGCAGTCCTATGGAGAGATATTCACAATATTGTTGTCCTAATAAAGTAATCTTTAAAAAGATTGAAAGTTACGACACCCAAAACTACTATATACACCTTTGTGGAAGCTGCTGTGAAAGTACTTCAGTTGCGTGGTTATTACGCAACGCCTTGAAAAGCCAAAACACCTCATTTCACAACCATAGCATTTGCGAAAAAAAAAGCCATACCAAACACACAATTAATGTCCTAGCATTAGTTTCCGGGCATGAAATGATTACCATTTGAATGCATCAAAAGCCATTTCAATTTCCTAAAATAACTAAAAAGATGTCGTTTGAAGAAAATCTTATTTGATATCTTTGTGATTTTATTTCAATTAGTGTTTTTATCAAGGAATTCATGAGAGTATCCGCAACACTTATTAAATAACTAAGTAAGAAATATTTCAATTCTCAATTCACAAAGTGGAATATGAATTATTATTTTTAGGGCTAATACTACAGAAAATTCTAAATGGATATTGTTTAGACGCATTTATCCCAAACCATTTTTGGACCCACAAAAACCTCTAAAGTGGTACACTATCCCAAATTTATTTTGAACAGAAAGAAAAATATCCTTATAGTTGACCTTCTATTTCCTTCCAAAAACAAATAGAAAATGGAAAAAAAAAATGCAAATGTTGCCCTTTTCTTTCATAATGACTTATTGAATAAATAAGACAAAAGATAATTGAGTCCATTCACAAATTGAACAACCTTTCTTCATTTCCAATCGATATGCATCCAAACAAGTTAAAGAAATTTTAATTAGCCCATGTGCTTTTACATGAAAAAGAAAATTGCATTTTGACTGATTACGAGGATAGCATTAAAGATACAAAATCTGAATGAGACGCTTCTCTTTGTGCAACTTCTCTTTCGCTTCTCTCATGTTAGTTAATTGTCTAAAAAATGGAGTTTACTCAAATTTTAGAACTAAAGTTGGAATTCAATTTGTTGACTTACCCCAACCGAAACCAACCAATAAATCGACAACCCATTTCGAATTATTTGTTTTTAATTTGAAATCACTAGCCTTGGATAAATTATAGGGTTAATATCATATAAGAACCCAAAACTGGTACATTTGTTTCAAATTTATCCCAAATTAATTTTTTGACCACCATCAATCCAGGTACACCTGTGACAAATTTACTACCAAAAACCCTAAATTGATACATTTGTGACAAATTTACCATTCGTTAATTTCCGTTAAATTGAATTAATACAACGAAAAATGACAAACTGGTACATCTATGACAAATGAAAAATAAAACCCTAAACTGGTACATCTGTCACGTGTCATCCAACTCAGTAATTTGATGGTAAAATTTAACGGAAACTAACAGAGAGCAAATTTGTCATAAATGTAATAATTTTGGGTTTTTGATGGAGATAAATTTGTCAGGTTATATTCTAGAGTGAAAGCTTTCAATCTAGCTACGCTACAAAAGATTTTGAGGGGGTGAATTCAAAATTTGTAAAATATTTTTCGAAAAATAATCGCTTGTGCCGTTTACAAAAATGATAAAAAGAAAAATATTTTCCCACGAGCATAGTTAATCATAAATTATTGTGAATAATGATAACATTTACCATTAACTAATTTTTCTAAATGATATAACCAATTATTTTTTTAAAATTATTTTCCAAATTTTGAGTTTTCCGTGACACAAACGCACCCTTAGAATCTAGGACTTGTACATTGAATTTATTTCAAATAGGAAACAGAAGATTGTTCTTTTACCTAAGATTGTTCTTCCGAAGAATCTCGAGAAGCCTATTCAATGCATTATAAGTCTATAAATCTGGAGAAATACATGAATCAATATTTTTCCAAGCAAATGATATCAGGATGACTAGATCGATATCAATGCGGGACCACGAGAATCGATTTTGCTAATTATACGACAGACCCAATAACCCAAATGCCAAACTAAACCGGATGGGGGAAATTTCACCATTAAACCACAGAGATTGCTTCCTGACTCCTCTCCCCACAAGTAAATAATCTTTGACTAATTGATTGCAGAGTACATTCATAGATTGTATGATGTCATTTTTCACTGCAAGCACAAATAGACAGCGTGATCCTATCCATTCACGTACGTGCACTCGTAACTTGTAAGCATCATTTGTTGAACATAAATTGTAAATTGCAACACCAAAATATGCAAATCCAGTTTTGATCGCTCAAGTCATGCCGATTGCGGTTTTGATAGCATAAAAAGCAGACTGTTTTGAGGAACTTCTGTGAAAAAATCACAAGACAAATGGAACGAGGAGAGATAGACCCAGCAACATATCATTGTGACGAGGCTTCATCTTTCTTCTCTGACAAGTACCTAGATAGAGAAAACAGCAAAGTAAAATGATGTTCATCTGTTTACGCATCTCCCAGTCATGTGCACTACAATAATTGACATCAGATAAAAACAATAATGATGAATGGGCCAAAGAAATTTTCATTGTATACTGGAGGTAACATGCAAAGAGTTATTAAACCAATATTGTGGTTGGTACTTACCCCTGACCCTTCGCACAACGGGAGAGTTGATAGAGCTGGACGGTTTCATTTGACGCGTGGCATGCAAGAAGTAGATAGTTGCGTGGTTGCACCATCCATGCAAACCTCATAAACAGCGCTGAGTATATGCACATAGCTGCAACAAAGACTAGGAGGTGAAAACTGTCTGGCAGGACATGAAAAGAAGATAAAATTGATGCATTTTCTTGGATCAGAAATTGCTAACCTGCTGTCATGTTGCCTGATATCATCTCTGGCGGTTTTTGCATGTCAACCAATCCCTATTGGAAGCACCAAATAAATAAATCACCAGTAGAAAAGCTAAAACTATAAGATGTTTCATTGGGGCACATAGAAATGGACAGTAGAAGAGAAGCATACAGCGACCACAAATCCCCAGTTTGCAACAGGTCCCCAAAAATGAGTAGTTTTGGGGCCAACAGGACTGTTCAGGAAAGCTCGGAAAGAAGCCATTTACTGCAAGTAATTCCTACAGAAAAAGCACATTGGGCTCATAAGAAGCATGCTTCTGAATTATATGTAGACATAACTCTCATGCAAAACTTGGAGTAAGGTCAACCACGATACAAAGGTTATCTTGGAATAATAATCTTACAACTCTTAGCTCAAATTTCTGAATGACAGAAGATAACCATAGATCTAAAACCAGTGAATCCTATACAAATTGCCATCTATTGCTCATCAGGTGCTTATAGTAGGCTACCTTTGTTTGTACGGCTATGTCATAGTGAGTCTCCAAAAGCAATTGTTAAGCCCACTATTTTCATTTAAGTTCAGATAAAGAAACAGCTACACAGGCGACAGAAGCATAGATTTCTCATAAACAATCTGGCTTTTACATAGGCAACAACTACATGGACAAAGGGCTAGCATATTTACTGGTCGAAGAAAAAGGGCAAGCATAGCCTTTCCATAGTCCAAAGGTAGTGTAGGGCCTATGCTAATTGTGCAAAATATTTGAATCAGTAGCATTAATTGAGTTTTGGCGATTGATGCCAGTTCGTCACTAATACAAACTAATGTACGATAGCAAGACCATATCTGAAAGAAAATGGCATAAAAACATGGTGTAAAGATCGCCAAAACAACAAGCAATAAAAGAATACTACATCATTCTACGAGTAATGTCCTTGGATGATAACGGTTCTAAGGCAAACAAAAAGTGAAGACTTCGAGATTAGAATTTCCCAGCAGAACTTCACTGAAACTCCAACTCCATTATCATGTGTTTTAATTGACTCAAAATTAGCTTCACGACTTCATTCAACTGCAGAATTTTAACCGGACCTGGCACAGAGCATCTCAATAAATCCTAGGACCAACTGGAATCCACAAGAGAAGGGCCGAAGACTATGTCATCGGTGGCGACACCGGTTCAAACCTAGGAATAGATGATAAAGTCCTAGTAATGCACAACTTTCAGAAATCCACCAGCCAGTCAATAAAGATGATTGGGCCAGTGGGTGGTGTGGTGGCTGCGGAAGTGGCGGCGTAAGCTAGGTTGGGAGGTTAGGGTTATGAATTTTTAATAGGGAGGTTTTCATGGAGTGTGGGAAATTTCAGAACTATAACGGGGGTAATTTAGGAAGAAATGGTGAATTTGTAAATAAATCGAAGATGTCAACTATTGTGAGGTGCAATTTGGTCTCCAAGATGAAAACTCAAGATGCAAAGTGGTAATTACGGTGGGCGGAAGGTTGAAGTCAGGTTCCTACTAGAGACAAATTGGGTGAGGAAACTCTTCAGCGAGATGCCTACTGGGTGACCTTGCTCAAAAACCCCTTACTCAATTGATGCTAACCACACCAAGACATTCACGGAATGCCTCTCCTTTCTCCTTGAGAACTAGATTCTAGGAACCAAGTCCAAATGGTAGCTTTCAAATCTTTCTCCCTTCACTGACTCTTTATCTTCAACTTCAATTACAAAGCATTCTGCTTCCTGAGAACTTCTTCGATTCATTCGAGCAAGGCTTGTGTAGCCTATGCGGAGCAAGCTGTATAAAATAGAGGATGCAAAGAGGTATGAGGTTAAAAATGGAGGAGGGTTTAAAGTGTACTTCTTATGTGAACTTGTTTTCTTTGCCAACGGGTCACGGGATGTTGACAATCTCGTGATAAGTTAATTCCGTAAAAAAACACCATTAGGCAAGAAACGAGAAGCTTCATAGAAGAATTGTCCATTGAAATACTCAGGATTTAAAAAATGTAGAAAGGTTTAACAGCTACTCCTTCAAAGGGGTACTCCAAATATGAGTCCTTTTCAAATACAAAACCAAGAAAAGCAAGAATCGTTTTTGCCAAATCCATATGATTCAATTCTTCCTTATAACATTAGAGCTTTCGGGGATGTATCAGACATGTTTTAGTATCATGCCAGAGAGTACTTCTGATGAAATACAAATGTTCCAAGAAAACGGGGCGAAGGGCATCACTTCAACGGGGCCGCCCTGCCCCACAGCGGGAGAACTCGCCCACGGGGCAGCTGTCATTAGGCAACGGTGGCCCGCCCCATTCGAGCAAAATTCCAACCACAAGTCTTATTCAGCCATGGAAGCTCCTTTGCTTCATCGATGCCCCATAATTATATTTCTAGCCTTTCCTTTCACACAACCGTCTAGACCCAGAAACCAAATACACAAATGAATACCCCTCAAAACACGGACCCATAATTATAATCTCTCAAACTTCAGAGAGACAAATCGCACATCCACATGCCAAGCATCGATCTTTGCCACAAATTCAAATTCACCAAGTTTCGACGTGCGCACACACGCACAAACTAGACATACAGATAGAATCGGCCAGCACACACGCGCACCAGACACACAGAGGGAATCGGCGAGCTAGGGCACAAGAAAGAGAGAGACGATCAGATTTCTGGGGTACCTGAGGTCCGACGGCGACGATGGCGACCAGGGTTGCGCCGGTGCGGCGTTGCCACGCTTCGAGAATTCGATCGCGGGTACAAGCAAAGCTGGAAAGCTGCGAGCGAGCGAGCGATCGTTTGACTTTGAGGTGTGAGGGAGAAGAGGTGTGAGGGAGAAGAAGAAGAAGAAGCTGGCTAAAATATAATACTCGTAATTATATTTTACTTTTAGTAAATGTTCTTAACTTGCTAAGATAAAAAAAAATTTGATAATGACATAGATGATCCCTGAATTTTAATTTAATGTGCAATGTGATCTTTAAAATTTTGATGTATTTTCAATTTATTTCAAGATTTTGTGAAAATGTTCAATGTTGACTTTCCATTAATTCAAGTTCAAGGAGAATGCTGAATATTTTCATACAATTTAGACCACATTGAACAAATTAAAAGTTTAGTAATGACATTGCACATTGGGCTAAGGTTCGGAGATCACATTAAGGCTCCGTTCATTTGGCGGAAAATATTCTCCTTTTGAAAAATATTTTCTCGGAAGTCATTTTCCTAGAAAATGTTTTCCCGGAACATAATTTTCCGGTGTTCGGCGACCAATATGAAAAAGTTTCGGAACATATTTTTCACCGGCGGCGGTGGCCGACGGCGGGCGGCGATCGGCGGCGACCGACGGCGGGCGGCCCGTAGCAGCCGGCAAATCGGCGGCGGGTGGCCCGCAGTGGCCGGCCAGCAGCCGGCAGCAGCGTGATGGCGGCCGCGCGGGGCGGCGACCGGCGGTGGGCGGCCGGGCTGGCCAGCGAGCGGGCCGAAGACCGACGGCCGGCGGCGGCAGCCGGCGACGGACGGCGGGCTGCGCTGGCCGACCTCACGGCGCCCGGCCCGGCCGGCGGCCGGCTGGCCGGCGGCCGAGGAGGAAGGAGGAGTTTGGCGGAAAATGATTTCCGCTTTTCAGAAGTGGAAATCATTTTCCGCCAATTTGGTCATGTTTTCCCTCATTGAGGGGAAAAGGTTTTCCGCCCCCGAACACCGGAAAACCCGGAAAATGTTTTCCTGGAAAACATTTTCCGCCAAACGAACACAGCCTAAATAAAATTTAAAGTTTAGGGATTACATTGTGCATTGGACCAAAATTCAGGGACTAGTTATATCATTTGGGTGCGAATAAAAACCATTCTATTTTTATTCCCTGTATGTGTTTTTGAACAGAGGTGTTTGATACGATACCAAATTTCTCTTCCCGAAACAGATATTCGTTTGACGACGACACAAAATTTCTCCCACTTACACTCTTTTCCATTCATCGATGGGCGGCGGCTAGTGAGAGTTGTGGTGGCTGACGAGGGTGGCGACGAGAGGGGGCAAGTAGAGGCCGGTGGGCAATAGGAAGGGACGGGCGGTGGCCGGCAGGGGGCGGCGGCTAGCAAGTAGGCGACATTGGGAGGCAACGGCCGCATGCGATGGGACGTGAGGGCGAGCGATGAGAAGATGTTTTATTTCTTTTTTTGTTCCAGAAACATAAAAGTATAAAAATTTTACTTTTCATTTCTATTCCAAACCTATTCTAGACTAAAAATTTGTTCCAGAAATAGAAAAATGAAATTGCGCGCCCTTAAAGTGCGAATGACAACATTTCTTTTCCCCGACCCTATTTATAGCTAGAAATAGTCTTCTCCGAACGAGTTTCTGAGCAAAAATTAGCGTTTGATAAAGACACAAAATTTCTATTCCCGGAGTAAAAATTCATTTGATAATTTATTCTTAAATTTTTGTTTCCGGCGGCCGTCCGGTGGGTGATGACGCACGGCCGGCAAGTGACGGTGGGCAGCGACATACGGCCGGTAAGCGATGGCAGACGGCGGTGGGCAACGGCAATGGACGGCCGGTGGTGAGCAGCCGGCAGCGAGTGGGCGGAGTTGGGCAGCAAGAGTGAGCAATAAAAGAGAGTTATTATTTCTGTTTATGTTCCAAAAATAGAAATGTAGAAAATTTTAACTTATCTGTTCCAACTCTATTTCTAGGCCAAAATTTGTCGAAGAAATAAAAAAATGAAATTATTTCACCAAATGAATTTTTGTTCCAAACCTGTTCCGAGGAACAAAAAAATAGAAAAACACGGAAACAGAATGGTTATCATTCGTGCTCTAAACGGATTTTGATCCAAACATGTTCTTAGGAATAGAAAAATAGAGAAACAAAATAATTATTATGCGCGCCCGATAAAGAAAAAGGGTGACAATCAAGTAAATTTACATAGTTTTGCTAAGACTGTTCAAAATTTATTTTATTAAGAACATTTTGCTTTTTCTTCCAAATTACTTTTTTTTCAAATTATAGATAGATTAATGAAAATTGAACTTAACAAAAATTCTACTAATTCAATAATGTTAACTAAAGCAATATATCATCGGAGACAAATGGGGATTTTGCATAAGTAAAATCACAAGAAAAAGTTATAACTGTTATAATGAAGCTCTCTTCAATCCTAGAGCGACATAGTTATGTAGAAGTCGTCATGGAGAAGTAATAGAATAAAATAAAACAAAAAAAGAGAGACAAATTAGGGCGCGAATGATAAAATTTCTCTTTCCCAACTCTATTTTTGGCTAGAAATTAAAAAATCTAGTTATATTCCTAGGACAAGCTTTTGATCAAAAAGTAATGTTTGATAATGACACAAAATTTCTGTTCTCGGAATATAAATTCATTTGATAGATTATTCCTAAATTTCTGTTCTCGGAATATAAATTCGTTCGATAGATTATTTTTTAATTTATGTTCTCGACGGCCGGTGGAGGCTGACAACTATGGGCGATAGCAATGGACAACCAGCGGGTGGTAGCGGGGGACGGGCGGTGAGCGGTAGGCACGGGAGGCGACGAATGACTAGCAGGGGACGGCCAGCAGTTGGGTGGTGGCGGGGGCGACAAGGGCGGCAAAGGCAAGCAATAAAATAGAGTTATTATTTCTATTTCTAGAATATAGAAATAGAAAAGTAAAAAAAATCTACTTCTCTTTTCTGTTTCAAATTTATGTCTTGGAAATAAAAAAAAATGAAATTGCGTTGCCAAACGAATTTCTGTTCCAAACCTATTCTCGGCAACAGAAAACTAGAAAAATAAAGAAATATAATGGTTATCATTCACGCCTCCATTTTAATATTCTCATGGATATTCTTTCATTCAAAGGTGAGTTGAGCATTTATCATTTTGCATTTTTTTTCCTAAGACGAGGAAGCCATTATTAATTAAGTAAATATTAGATCCATAAGATATCTATTTAGTTACTAATTGGACAAGTGCAATGAAAGTCCTAAACCTTACGACGGAATGCAATTGGATCCTAAATGTTTCGATTGGTTCAATTAAGTGTCCTAACGCAGTTTACAAAAGTGAAATCAAGTCTTTTTAATTAACAATATCTAAAATTGCCTATGTATTACTAGAAAATCGCCTTCGTCGCTTGAATTGCACAATCGACATAAATTTTAGGACTTAATCGCATTTTTAATAAAGGTTTATGACTTAAACTAAATCAGTTGAAACGTTTAGGACTCGATCACACTTTTCAGCAAAAGTTAAGGACTCGATTGAACGAAATGAAAGGTTCAAAACTCAATTCAATAATGTACATAAAAATGTAGGATTTATGGTGCAATTTTTCCGAACTCGATACCTAGACAAGGTGGGATCCGAGCCAAAACTCGAGAAACAAATTAGAAAAAGAAATTTGTGATTGCAATATCACAAGTGCGTCCCTCTCCTCCTTTGGTACCCAAATTCCCAGTTCTTTGGAGAATATGTGAACTAACCAATGAGAAACCTTTCTTTGTTTTTTTTCTTTTTACTTCTTTCCTTCTTTTGCTAAGAAAGAAACAAATGAGACACTATCAAAAGAAAAGAACAAAAGCAAAGGAATCTATCTAGTGGTCCTAGCCGATTGGTACATGATTTACATCCATGCACCTTTTTTATTCCGGATAGCTCGCAGTCTTTATCTGGCTTCTCATTCTACCTCTATTCCTCGACTTTCCCTTCTGCCAATTATTTTATTTAAAATTGATCTGCGTTATAATCACATTTATCATATTCGCACGAGCAATATTCCAAGCAAACGAGTGGGAATTATCTTGCGTTGTTTGAGAACGGGTCTTAAATACTCTTTATGATCATAGAGTCTACATCTACCTATCAGTTTAAGCTTTTGGGTTGAACTTTTTATCATGGTATCAAAGCCAGTGCTATCCCTTTCACAAATGTGTCTCCACCCCCCATTAGTCAAATTCCACGTGTCGTGATCAAAATTTCACGGGCCACTCGTAACTCGGCTTGCACGTGAGAGGAGGTATTGAAATATTGACGAGTCCATCCACCTATCAGTTTGAGCTTTTTTTGTTGGACTTTCTATCATTTAAAATAGTTTCGATCATTTACTATAGTAGTGTACGGATGAAAAATTCAAAGTACTATTAACCTTAACTTATTGATGCGGATTTCCTTATTTTCCTATAGTCCAAGGTAGAGATTAGGGGCATGGGAGGAGGAGTCATAGAAGATTCATCATGGATAGCTTTCTATAGTTTTCCCGAATACCCTTCATTCGGCGCGAGTGACGGCTCGTGATACTCACGTGCTCGCCGATGGTGACGTTTTCCAACTTTCGATGGGAGTTGGGGCGGAGTTGGGGCTAATTGAGACAAATTTATACAATTTATGGGCCAGTGTGAGAAACAAAACTACGTTTAGGGGCGCTTGAGAATCGAAGCACAACCTAAGGAGAAATTGGAATTTTTACCTTTTGTTTTGTCGGAAGGTTAAACAATTATATAAAAAAAGTAACGAATTTTCCTATAGTCTAATTGAACCAAATGACAATGATTGAATCAAGCATGACTCAAACAAATGCAGTCCCAAAATATTTCCTAATCCTAAAAGTATCCCATATATTAATAAGAGTCGATAATATGTCACGTTTTTAGTAATGGCATGACAATGCTTATATTAATTTGAGGTTAGAAAGATTACTTTTGATATGTTTAGTAATTATACCCACGCTTTTGAAATAATAATTAAGTAGTATCCCCACTCAGTCAATTGCTTGAGTATAAAGTTCTTCATTAGAAAGTAACCCCTTTTAGGCACAATACATGGCTGTTCATCTTGGTGAAAGACCGTTCGATCAGTGAGCTTTATGCACTCTTCCAACGATAGCTCTTCTAAGGGAAACCTCCCGAGTGTCTCAAGCTATCCAGTCTAATTCAAATCTTGGTTCAAACACTACATTAATAGTGGTTACAATTTTTTTCTTATATACCTGAAAAGTGGTTCAATTATATTGATAAAAAGGGTAGGGAGGGATGATCAAGTCGGTAACTCCTCTTAGTGTTATCATAAGAGTCTCATACTCGTTACAAAATACTCTATTTAAGTCATAATTACTTTGCATCATTAGTGATTCAAAAAATTTGAGGTTGATAAGCCCGTTATCGAGACTCCACCAATAGGATTTCACAACCGAAGATGAGCCAAAATTCATCTCTGGACCATTATCCGACACAAAATCTAAAGCAACTTAGCATAAAGACAACTCAACCACTCTCATAAACCAATGGGATGGAATGATTCTGAAATAATTGATAAGAATCAAAAGGTGGTGTTGCATCGCAATTCCCAAGGGATCTCCATCAAATTTGGTACAAATAGCAAGAAAACACGGACCGTATCTTTTAGACCACCGACATGGAATTATTCTGAAATAATTAATAAAAATAGAGAAAAGTGTCAAAAAATTTTTAAACCTTTTGGTTTGATGTTAATTTAGTCCTAAACTTTTTTTTGTGCCAATTCAGTCCTAAAGTTTTTGCATTGGTGTCAATTCAGTCCTAAATCTTTTGCATTTATGCCCAATTCAATCATAAACAATTTGCATTTATGCCAATTCAGCCCTAAACCTTTTGCATTAGTGCCCATTCAATCCTTTGAAACATGAATAGCTATTAGGCGGAAGGACTGAATGGGCACCAATGCAAAAGGTTTAGGACTAAATTGGTACTAATACAAAAGGTTTAGGACTGAATTGGCACAAAAAATATATTTATGACTGAATTGGCACAAATGCAAAAGGTTTAGGACTGAATTGGCACCAATGCAAAAGGTTTGGGACTGAATTGACACCAAAAAAAGGTTTAGGACTCAATTGGCACCAATGCAAAAGATTTCGGACTCAATTAGTACAAAAAAAAGTTTAGGACTAAATTGACACCAATGCAAAAGGTTTAGGACTTTTTTGACACTTTTCCCAATAAAAATAGGGTGGTGTTACTCAAAAGATCGTTGCTACTCAAACTTCATCTAGCATTAATTTTCCTGCTTGAACTCAACTTAATTAGAAAATCGGGATACTTGAGCTTGACTCAACTGGATTAGGTTGCCATCAATTTACAAATAAAACTCGAGCATTTTTGTAATTTTAAATATTTTGTATCTTATTTGTACAATTTTCAAAAGAATAGTTAAAGCTTGATCAAGCTTGAATTTAACTAGACAAAATGTTCGGAGTAGCTTGAAATTGACCGCGTCTCCAAATTAGGTGAGTTGATCTTGAATAGTCGTCGATCGATATCGACCCACCTGCGGGTAGCCTGACTCAATTTCATCTCTTTTACAGGTACTTTTGCCAATTTCTTTTGTACAAGTGGCTTATCTTTCTGTAATTAATGCATTTTGACCACATTTTAATTAATCTTTCTGCAAATAATGCTAATATGGCAACTGCAGGATGATGTCATGTTGTCAAACTCAACCCTAATCAAGAAAAATAAAAGAATCTGAAAAAATAGAAAATAAGGAAAAAAAAAAGATGGCGGGTCGCTCCACTTCCCTTGTTTTCTTTTTGTTTTTTAATATGAATTAATACCGTAAAAAAACTCTCAACTGATACACATATGATAAATTTACCCTAAATTTATTTTTTTACCATGAAAAATCCAAAACCGGTGCACATATGATAAATTTACCTCAAACTAATTTACCCTCCATTAATACATAAAAAATCACAAATTAACTCAGTAATTTGACTGTAAAATTTAGCGAAAATTAACGAAGGATAAATTTATCATAGGCGTACCAATTTGAAATTTTTTGTGGTAAAAAAATTAGTTTATGGTAAATTTATCACAAATATACCATTTTGAGATTTTTCATGATATTAAACCTTTTAATATATTCATAAACTTTTTAATTTTTAATTTTAGTCAGGGTTGATGTGCCGAAGGCCATGTTAGACCTATGCCGCCGTGTCCATATCTTGCTGACGTCATGGATGTATTGCAATCAAAGTGCACTAATTTTAAAGAAATGGAAGGTTAATATACGTGAAGCAATATTTGAAATCAAAAGTCGACCGCGGAAATTATATTTTCTTTTAGTGCTTACAAAATTAAAAAATATATTCTTACGTAGAGATGGCAATTCGTGTTGTGTCATATTAATCGCGCTGTGTCATATCGAATCAAGTTGTGACGCAAATATGACTAATCCGAATGCAACACATATGATGAACTTGTTGAACCGACTCAACAATAACATGGAACGCCTAATACAACCGATACGATTACGAAGCATGTCATCGTGTTGGGTATTGACACGACACCATAAATTAACATATATTTATGAATATATATTCAGCGATATTCATAAGAAACACTTAGTACGTGATAACTTGTGTTAACACATTTAACATTTTTCTAAACAAAACAACATTAATTTAGATGTGCCAATTCGTATCCAAACGGGTTAAGCGAGTCAATCCGCGTAAAACACGATTTTTGTTGTGTCCTGAACCGGTCACTCTCGTTTATATCAAATCGAAACCTGCTTAATTATGTATCGTGCAAACTGATCTCGTTATGAATTGGAAGTCCTGTAGCAATGACACCTTTCTAGAAAAAAAAGTCATTAATTTATGGTATCGGGACCACCTGGGACAGCAAGGTGATGGCAACATGAACCATATCTTCTGCAGAATTATACGAAAATGTCCTTTGGATCTATTCATTTCTCACTCGGACCAAAATATTCTCGCAACAAATGAGCAAGAGAAAAATAGAAAATAGCATAGTGGCATTACTTTTTGAGACCATAACCACAAGGTTTGTTTATAGTTAATAGACGTGATTTGAGTATGATGGTTACTATGAAATCATGTGAACCACGAAATTAGACCAAGTAATGTTCATGCAAATTGTCGCAATAAACGTTGTCACTTTTGGATTACATACATGTTATTGATGTTGCTTCGCTCCAGTTTAATCCGAAAACCAAATTGAACCAGCCTTGACTAGTATGGTTTCTAATTTTATATGGTGAATCGTCAATGACTTGACCATTATACCACAAATTGTTCACATGGTATGTTTTCCTAAAATAATAGTTATATTACTTAAAGTTTCTTTAAATTTTGAAAAAAAAAAAAAACAAGGTTGGCCCGGATCTCGGGTTGCTTTGGAATTAACCGGTTCGGTTTCAAGCCCGTTTCTAAGAGAACCGAACCATAGGGTAAGTTTCAAGTTCTTGATCTGAAATCTACCCATCTTGAAACGAATCACTCCCGTCGCTCATAAGGTGCAATCTTATTATTTCAAGAGGACAAAAGATTCTTCTTTTTCATGGTGGCGCCACCATGTTCTCATTTTCCACACATGCTTCATTTGTGGGGGGTACGTAGACCGAATTTGGTTCATAGTTTTAGACAACCTAATCCTAATCTTAGAAGATTGGAGTCCCATCGGCCACGTGAACAAGCAGGAAATTTACAAAAGCAGGAAATTTACAAATATTTGACTTCCGAGGGTGGCGACGGACATCCTTTTGAATTTTATGCTGGGTGGATGCGAGACAAGATGTGGTTCTAACTTTCCACGTACACTTATTTACATGTATTCTTAGTATCGTTAAGAATAAGATTAATATCACGAAAAATCTCAAATTGATATATCTGTGATAAATTTATTCCGAATTAATTTTTTGATAATAAGAAACCCAAAATTGGTACACTTGTGGCAATTTTATCCTCAATTAGTTTCCGTTAAATTTTACTGTTAAATTTCTGAGTTGGATGACACGTCGCAGTTGATGAGTATACCAATTTGGGGTTTTGCCCTCCAGTACCATTTTGTTATTTTTCATGAAATTAATCCAATTTAACATAGGGTAAGTTTGTCACAAGTATACCAGTTTGAAATTTTTGGTGCTTAGAAAATTAGTTTGAGGTAAATTTATCACAAGTATATCGGTTTGGAGTTTTTCGTGATATTAACCCTTATGAATACAAAGCAACTCTTTCATGCCCTCCAATTCTTGAATTAGATTGCTATGAATATGGATATGAACACCTCAAGTTAGAGAGGATGTAGCATCATCACTTGTTGAATCCTAAAATTGTCGTAGAAGTCATTGCCAACGTCGACGATGAAGGCGGGATCAAGTGAAGAGAAGAGAGAGAGAGAGGGCTCGGGGGACAGGGAGAGAGGCACGAGAGAAGCACGCATACGCAAGCATACACAAACAAACACGCACGTGGCGAGGGAGATGGAGGTAGCGAGGGCGGCGGCGAGGGCGCTACGACGGTACGGTGAGCAACAGTCTTAAAGGGGGGAGTGGTGGTTTAGTGAGAGGAGGAGATGTTCAGTTTGGCAAATACCTGAATAGTTACTGTAGACAAATGGCAGACATCTACCCTTGTGTTTAAACTAGGGACAGGACATAGCAACATACAATGACACCCCCATGATCAAAACTTGTGTTTTTGTTCCTTGATTTTTCTTGATTTTATTAAGTTGAAAAATGGAAAAAAAAAACCAATTGCAAAGAAGGAAAGGATAAGAAGTTGAAGAAGGACACCACTTGACAAAATTGAACCATGATGATATTCATAAAAAATAAATGAGAAAAAAGCTTCAAGATGTGGCCACCAAGTATGGCTCCCAAGTTGACAACCTTCTATTTTCAGGCTCTCTTTTCTTGCACCTTCCACTTCTCTGAAAGATTCCCGTGACATCACCAGAGTCATCATCTCTCTTATCGTTACCGTCAACTTCCTCTTCCTCAAAGACACCGTTTTCTCCCCAATCCTTTTCATCATCTTCCATCTTGTCATCATCGAGTGTTCTCTCCTCATCGTCCATAGAATCAACGCATGATGAAGTGGGTTCTCTCAGGAAACATAGCCGAAGCCGGCCGTCGCTCCTTTCGGCTCGAAAATGAGGGTAACTCGACGGGGTCTCAACGGCTTCGATAACCAACCTTCCATCTTCTCTGTGAGGCCTAAGTTGGAGGGACTTCGCCCCGCTAATAGTAGTTAGCGGAGGTGGAAAACTGCGGCGCATCGGTTCCTTAGCCCCGACGTGTTCATGGGGCTTGAGCGAATTCCGATCCGACCTTGACCCGTCGGTCAGAACAGACGGTAGAACCGTGCTTTCGCTGACATGGTCGACAATACCAGTCTCATTCCCTAGATCCTCAGTGCACATCTCCAAGCTTTTCTCGTGGAGTGATATCGAAGAAAGACTCTTTGTCAAAGGAGGGACATAGGCAAAATCTTGCTTGTTGACTGGCGAGATGGGATTGGCAAGAAAGTTTCGGGTCATCTTGGGGTTTTCATTTTGCACTTCAGACCCTTTGCTGGATTTACCCAAGAGGCTACTCTTTGAGGGCACATCTAAGAACTGAGAGAAGTGAGCAGGACTCGGCGAAGTCAGTTTGAGCCTTATAGACACCGGCTCTATGATTTGGGGTTCCAGACACGACTGCAAACCTTGGCACACAATGGTTGCCATGACAGATGAAGGAACCAAGAGGAAGAGGCGCAAAGCTTGGAAATTTCAGTGGAGATAGCTGAGGTTTTGAGGTTGGGCCTTGAGGATTAAGGACTATGGAGAGGGAAGAAGACAGAGCAGGTGAGGTTGGGCAATGGGAGATGAGATGAGATGAGGAGGAGGGTGGGAGGGTGTGAATTTGTAGTGTGCCATGAAGGGGGTTGAGACTGAGAGGGAGAGGCTTGAAGAGGAGGAGCTCCTCACACCACTTGAAAATATATAACTCTTGATCGGCCACACAACACAAGAGGACAGGCAATAAATATAATACAAAAGCTAGGCCCTCTGTAGCAAAACAGATGCAAGGATCCTTCCTTGCTGAATCTGAATATGCTTTAGTTTTGGACTAGTCCAGTTTGGACTCGGAATTTCTCAGTAAAATATCCGCTTGCTATCGACCCGGTGAAACTCGGTCCAACCCCATTGACAGCGCACGGTTAACCGCTCCGAAAAGCGCTCGAAATCATCGTTTTCCACGAGTTGATCCGACTTCGCATGGGTACCCTTTGTTACTTTGAGAAACACAAAAGGGCATTGAGAGAAAACAAGCGTCTTTGACGATGTTTCCTCACGGACGGAAAGCCCCTGTTTTCCAGCCTTATGTTACTCATTTTGCTTGCGGTCAAAACCCGGAAGCTCTTGCATTTTTTGGGCTTTAAAAACAGTTGCCAACCGATCCATCCCCCACCGACCGAAATCAATGCGTCGACCGGTCATCGAGTCTCAACGCGGAGCGGCAGATGAAGGCTGGACGCTCGTCCCGACGGCTTTGGTTGTACTGGCACATATGGATATGGTTGTGCCCTGGTCAAACCCCGTGAACTGTTGTACCTTGTGTAATTTTTCCTCTTTTTTTTTGGTAATTTTTTTAATTTATATGTTTTCTAATATATGTTTCGATGCAACGACGGGGCTTAAACCGATGGTGTGTCGGAAGCCCCGAGGACGCGATTGACGCGGGTTCTCTATCTGTAAATGTGTTTCAATTCGTGTCTTGCAAGTAATGTCTTGAATGCACCGTTCTTGACCTTTAATTTGTAAAAAAGTAGCGGACATGGAAGGACGAATTTCCAGTTAGAAATTTAGATGGGTTAAGTTGTAAAGTATAATACTTGTCTTTTTTTTAAAAAAATTAGATTTTAGGAACGTTTCTAATTTGATTTCTCAAACGCTGGATGTATGATATAGCTTAAACATTTGGAATTTTGGATCCACTATTGAACACTTAACTTCAAAATGAATATAAATACCCAACACAACTAATTGAATTTAAATGTAAACGAGAAGCTCCAGCATCAAATTTATAATAATGTTAGTATCCTTTCGAGGACAAATCATTGAGGTGCTATATCCCTGCTAGTCCTCCTCTTTCCATCCACGGATATAGTGCGGAATCTTTTACAAATCAGCACGAATATATTATATCAAGCAAAGCATTCATGATCTGATCATTTGGAGGTTTCTTTTTCCCCTCAAATTGATTTTCTTCAATCTTAATGTAAATCAAATTGTTTGCGTTCAACTTCCACCGTGATTATAGGAGGGTGATATCTCTATGTATATTGTGTGAAGTATCAATGAAAGGGGTGCACATCATTGACTCAATTCTTGTTTATCTATATATCCAATCCATATTTTACTAATGACCAAGGTTCCAAATGGATTCAGGATAGAATCGGGAATCAGAGGGATCAGTCTAAACCAATCCTCTTTTTCAATATGGAATTTGACTCGGGTCAAACTATTGGTCTTAATTATTTTCTCTGTTTGGGCCGACCTAGGTTGCAGGCCTCAACTTGGAGCCCAAAATAGCCTTGGAACCCGAAACCTCCGTAAAGTCTCGCTTGCATTAATTGGACTAGAATAATAGGAATCGGAATATATAATAACAAGGAATCAAAATGATAATTAATTCTTGAATTATCACGTTTGGTAAGTCTTGGAATAAGAATGTAACATATTTACGATTTAAATATTGAGGTTGTAATTTACCATAAATATAAGCAAAGTGAATAGAGTCATACATGTATCTACCATATCACGTTTTCTTCATATAGAAGTTGTCGAATTCGAAACTTAATTATTGGTCCAATTTAATGTCACCTTTCAAATCCATTTATTTCCATTCCTTTCCTTTCATTCCCACCCCCTCCTATGTTAAAGGATTCATTTCGAACTTTCAATATCCACTCCCTTTTTCATTCCGAGTGACCAAACGTTAATTAGAAATGATTGATGATTCTATTAAGGGAAAATTACCAAACAATCCTAAACATATTGTAATTGTGCCAATTCAGTCCATTCGGCCAATTTTGGCTAGCCGGCACTGACATGATGCCGGTTGTCCAGCCAACTCTTACGTGGCAATTTTTTAAATATTTTTATTTTTTCTTTTATTTTTCTCTTTTTTTTTCTTTTTTTTCCCTCCCTTCATCTTCAACCTCTAATCGATTGTCGGTTCCGGCGATTGGCCAGATGCAGGGGCCGGCAAGGTTCGACTTTGCTGTCGCTGGGCGAGGTTGACCTTGCCAGTTGCCGGCGAGCTTGTCCTTGCCATGCTTGGGCAAGGCTGTCCTCACCGTCACTCACGAGGTTGAGCCTCGCCCTCACCAACGGTAACTGGCTAGAGGTTGAAGATGAAGGGAGGAAAAAAAAGTGAAAGAAAAGAAAAAATAATGAAAAATATTTTAAAAATTGTCACGTCAACGTTGACCAGACAGCCGGATGGGCTGAATTGGCACAAAAAGAAAAGGTTTAGGACTGAATTGACACGGTTGCAATAGAAAATGACTGTTTTGGTAATTTTCCTTCTATTCGCGCTCCTTTACTTCCATTCCGTCTCACTCGGGATTTTCACCCCAAAAAAGTGAAAATCTCTCACCAAAAGGTTTGTTTTTGGTTTTTTATGGTAATGAGTCATGTGTTGATCACGAGAAATAAATTCTTGAATTTAAAATGCAAAGAAAGTAAGTCTGCATTGAACGAAATAAATGGAAAGTTAAACCTCATTGATTGGGGTAAATGCATTGAAAGTCATAAAATTTGTCACAAAAATGCGATCTAGTTCTAAAACTTTCAAAAAGTACCATCAAGTCCAAAATTTATCACGAAAGTACAATTGATTCTTAAAAACTTTTAAAAAGTGCAATCAAGTCATAAAACTTGTCATAAAAGTGTAATTGAGTCCTAAAACTTTCAAAAAGTGCAATCAAGTCCTAAAAATTTCATGCAAATCGTCGCGATAAATGTTCCCACACTTGGATTACAGACACGTTATTGCGGTCACTCACTCAGGTTCAATCCAGGAACAGAATCAAATCAACCTTGACTAGTATAGTTTCCAATTTTATATTGTAAATCGCCAATGCCTTAACTACCACACATGGTATGTTTTCTTAAAATAGTAGTTCTATTAACTAAAGTGTGTTTAAAATTTAAAGGAGAAAAAAGGTTGGCCCGGTTCTTGGGTTGCTTTGGAACCAGCCGATTCGATTCCAAATCGGTTCTTAAGAGAACCAATAACCGAATTATAGAATTTGTTCTAGCTTCTTGATCCGAAACCTACTTACCCTAAAACAAATGATCCCTATTACTCATCGAGATTATTTTAAGGGAATAAGTACACTGAAAGTCTTAAAACTCGTTACGAAAATGTAATAAAGTTCTAAAACTTTCAAAAGTGAAATCAAGTCCTAAAACTAGTCACGAAAGTGCAATCGAGTCCTAAAATTTTCGAAAAGTGCAATCAAGTCCTAAGAATAATTTCTATAAGTAATCATTTCATTAATTTATAAATTGAACATAATTCAAATTATTTCAAATTCTATAAACTATATAAAAATATTAATTAATTTAGATAAATATTATTTATACATCACGCATTCTGAATCAAGTAAAGACTATGGGTTTGCAGCAAGTCACCAATACATCCATCCATTTCATTAGAGATTGATGATCTTTAACAATACTTTCTAAGGGATAGTTAGCACAAGATGGTAAACAACAAAGTTTTTTTTTTTTTTGATAACTCAGGAACCCTCCGCATGGCCGACAGCCGGAGGGGTAAACCTGGGGTGACGCTAGCGCAGGACCCACCACCACGGCGCCACACTTAAGAATCCCTAACGACAACAAAGTTTGATTTTGGAAAAATACAAGTTTTAGGACTTGATTACACTTTTTGAAAAAAAATTTAGAATTTGATTGCACTTTTGTAACGAGTTTTAGGATTTGATTACACTCTTTGAAAGTTTTAAAATTTCATTGCACTCTCGTGACGAGTTCTAAAATTTCGAGTGCATTTTTCCCCATTTCATGAGGACAAAAGATTATTCTTTTTCATGATGGCGCCACCATGTTTTCATTTTCCCCACATGCTTCATATGTGGGTGGTACGTAGACCGAATTTGGTTCATAGTTTTAGACAACCTAATCCAAATATTAGAAGACTGGAGTGGCATCGGCCACGTCGAACAAGCAGGAAATTTACAAAAGCAGAAAATCGAGGAATATTTGACCTTTCTGAGGGTGGCACCGGACGTCCTTTTAAATTTATGTTTGGTGGATGCGAGACAAGATGTGGTTTTAACTTTCCACGGCCACGTATTTGTACGTAATTTTCAGTCTCGTTATGGATACAAAGCAACTCTTTCGGAAAAATTATCGAAAATTTTTTAAAAAGGTGGCCAATTCAATTTCCAATTTTTTAATTGTATCAATTTAGTACTAAACATTTTAACGATCTTCCAATTTAATGCTAAACCTTTTTATGATTTGTCAATGTAGTTCTTCCGGCCAATTATCCAAACAATCGGTTTAGAACTAAAATGACAAATTTTCAAAATGGTTAGGACTAAATGGACACATTTAAAAGGTTTCAAACTAAATTGACAAATCGTCAAAATGTTTAGGACTAAATTGGTATAACTAAAAGGTTTATGACTAAATTGATTGCCGTATAATAGATTTATGACAATTATCCAAAGTCTTTCATGCCCTTCAACTCTCAAATTAGGTTGCTCTATACATGGATATAAACACCTCAATTTAGAGAGGATGTAGCATAATCACTCGTGGAATAGGTGGTCTATGTTCACTTACCACCGTAGATATCCAATATAAAAATTGTTGTAGAAACCCTTGCCAACGGTGACGATGAAAGCCGGAAGCTCTAGGGAGGGCGAAGAGAGGCACGAGAGACGCGTGCGCATACGCAAGCGTACACAAACAAACACACACACGTGGGGAGGGAGATGGGGGCGGCGAGGGCGGCTGCGATTTTACGGCAGGCAACGGTCTTAAGGGGAGAGAGCGGTGGTTTAGTGAGGGAAGGAGAAGTTTAGTTTGGCAGACATCTACTCGTGTAAACTTAGGGACAGGAGATTGGTAACAAAGAATGGCATCCCCTTGATTAAAACATGTGTTTGTGTTTCCTTGATTTTTCTTGATT